CTGAAGCTACAGCTGAGGTCATTGCGCCTTCGGTCAAATACGTTTGAGTTATTTTATCATTTTTTTTTTTTAATACTTCTTCTAAGGACCTATTTCTCAATGTTATAATATAGGTAATCAGTTCAGTGGTACAATCGAAAAACGTATTAAATTTGTTACAGGAAGTAAACTCTTATATACCTATGACGATACTGTAACGATATAAAGTAAATAGGTACTTGGAGCTTATAATACAGTTTATTGCAATCTTACAAAATTACAACCACATAAAAACTGTGAAAAAACTCAGATAAAATTCCTAGGTATGAACCTAGTGTCAAACGTGAAACGAACTGAATTTAAATAATAAGAAAACACATCGTCGTCACATTTTTGGTACTCGCATTTCGATATCGGAAAAAGCAGTTTAAATACATATGTCTACCTATATTAGGTAGACATTAATGATGTGCCTACATAAACCAACGCATATATATATAATTAAGATTATTATTATCACACTGATTTTGGAATATTGAATTTTGCTATTATTGTGTAGTACAGAATGTTATAAGACCTGATTTTTGGAATATTTTAAATATAGGTACCTACTTAAAAATCAAACTTTAAAATACTCAAGATTTGTTAAACTAGGTACCTACTTAGAGAGTTAACTGTATAGAAACTTCTGTTTTTAAAATTAGAACCGACGTTTATCTACTGTAAATTATTTAGCTAGTCACTTTTCTTAAAATGTTGTAGGTATCAAGATAAAAATTCAAATGAGTTTGCCTCTATTACCTAAAGATAATTGGTTCAACATAATGGGTTCGGCATATATGGAGGCTATGATGATTTATAAACTTTAGTAATTTATATCGATCCATGAATATTTATGATTTATAAAAGTGTTCCAAGTATAATAAATACTTAAACTAAAATACTAGATTCAATATTATACATAATAATTCAATACGTATTACATATTTTTTTAAATCATTTTAAGTACTATTGTAGTTATAGTACCTATATACATTTTGATAACTGAAAAACTGCTCTTTTGAATTTTTGATTAGGTATATTTGTATCAATACTTTTAAAAAATTACTCATTAAATACATAGTATGTATAGACGAGAGGGGTTTCCATATGAAAAACAGAAATTAAAAAATAAATCACAGGAATTTGAACAAATTCATTATTAAATGTAAAAACAGGGGTGARTATATGCTTAGTGAATATAATTGTACATTTCTACAATGCTATTACATAAAAATGACCATGAATTAATCAAGCMACATTTCGAATACCCTAATTAAGACAGTACGTCTCAATGTCTGCATGCCCGTCTTGGTTTTTTTTAAATTTATTTTTCAGAGCAAATTGAGGGATTACATTATCCTTTTATTTTAAAGTTTCCACTAGGTCACTGAGCTTTTGCTAACCATTACTCAATAATTATCAAGTTACTCATCTTCTTCGAGAAGGATATACATCATATAACATATATATATATATTAGGCAAGTCTAAATTCTATAATATTAGGTTTACAGGCAAATTAAAGCTAATGACTTGAAAAATATATAAAAATTTAACTCCGACATTCTATACTGATGACATCATCTTCAAAGTCATTTAGACAACTTAGAGTTTTTTCTATACGAGCTTACACAAGATAAAATTATATTGTCTTTCTAAATTCTTAAGTAATATATAATAAAGAAGATCATTATAGTATCTTTTATCTTTTGCGTTAAATTAAAATGATTTAAAATAAAGATTTACTCATTTTATTTTTAAAAACGTTTAACATGACTTCCAGATAATTAAATAATATATAATCGGTACATAAATATACTATTTGCAGACTGACGTATAGGTCAAAACRTACAGTTGAGCCTATTTTCGTTATATCGTTATAAACGTCCTATAATTTTTAATTTATTTGGAAATTCGATRTATTCAACTCAATTGGATCAAGGCTATATTGTGTAGCATACTAGATATTTTATACTATAAATTACAATTAGATATTTGTATATAAAAAAAATAACGATCTTCGTCGTCCTAAATGTACATTTATATATTTTTGTCTTGTGTATACTGCATTATACTAGGGTATAGTGCATTATACACAACAGTTAGATTAGATATGTACTTATATAAGAAAATCAGCGAGACGGATAAACTKTTTACTTTTTTATAACACAGTCGATTTTACTTGGATTATGACTCAAAAGCAACTATACCTATAGCTAATGCCTAAGGATTTTCCCCTTTCATATGTATGTCTTAATAGTTTTATGTGCGTGTGCAATGCAATAAAGGTATATGATTTTAAAAGACGTTTTTAAATCATTAGTAAAACTGTCAAGTGCGTTTTGCCTGTTCTTTACAAATATTAATCATTGCCACCTCCTTTATGTTTAAATATACAAATGATGTGTATCTATTTTTGCGAAAATAAAATAATTTAAAAAATCCTAAACAATCCTAAACAATAGAAACACAAAGTATATTATACATTATCATTACGATTTATCAAGGACGCAGTTACTCGTTTTGTGGTTTTGTTCTATCGAATTAGTTAACACTACTGTTTAATAATACATAATAATATAGGCTCTAACTTCTAAGTTAGTCGATCGTAAATGAGATAATATATAAAAAAGACGGACCAATAAACTTCATTATACATTGTTTTGTTCTCTTTTGTTCATTGGTCATTCATATGTAGCGAAAAAGTGCATGTACTCGAATAAAACTTGTTTCATTTGTATTGCATTGCATGGGTTTCATTGGTTATATTATTCCTTTTTTTTTAATCAAAAGCAGTCAACTATATACATACGTTATAATATGTAATATGCTCATTGTAGTACGAGTTCTTTGTCAGATAAATAGTATTTGTGTGAACATTGTAAAATATTTAAATAATTAAATTTTAAAACGGACTTAAAATTAATTTGCATAAGCCGTAAAGTTTTTTTGAAAATTCTTATGTTTTGTTTTTAAATCCAATGTAAAATTTTAAAATATAATAATATTGTTCCTATAATTAATTACAGTATTAACATTGTCTTACTAGTTTACTACACAATATTATGTTAAATATTACTTTATGTTAGAACAATACAAACACATGCAAAGCTTTTAGAAAAATAATATTAATTATGTATTCGATTCTATATTCTATGTTTAGTAAATATGAACCATCTAAACATAAACACATGATATTTTAATCAATTGTTATGATAGAATGAAAAAGTGACATTTAAAATCAYATAATTCGAAATTTTTACATTGCATTAATGTTATTAAGTCTTAATACGTTGTTTTTTATTTTTTTTTAATCAATGAGTATATTTTGTAGGTATAGATTATGAGTATTTTAATAGGYTAACATTTGTTAAATCTTTAGACAATAAATCTTCAACTCTGTCACATTACCTACCTATGGAATATCGCCTCATATCGGTGAATTGGTCGAGTCCAGACTGCTTAATTGCAATACCCAATAGGTATATAGCTATAATTTACTTTTTTTTAATTATAGAAATGTTGCGCATAATTGTTGGGATTTAATTTAGCTTTAAAACGATCCATCTTATATGTACGAGTAGGTATTCAGTAAATTGTAAATACCCTGCACGAAATGTTATTTGTACCACATTAAATTAAGCACCATTATGTACGTATACTGCATATATAGAGTACTACATACATATTATGCTATTATAACCCCTATGACCTTTTGTAGTATATACATTATATGACCTAAATTTCACGTACAAAAATTATGAGAAATAACATATTATATAATCTCGTGTAATCTTTGCTATTTATATAATTTAGAATACGAACAATTTTGTATGTGCAGTTATGCGTATTGTCAATATTATAAACAACAAACTAACTCTTCGTCATTGATAATTCATCAATCAATATTCTATACACAGTATAGTTATTATTTATCATTCGCTTTCCCTGTGAACTAATACATAACATAATACTATCTACCGTGTTCTGAATAATTATTATCCTTATCTCGAAAGTGCCAATTTTGACTCAATCGACAAAGAATTATTAATGTGAATTTTTACTCGTTCTTGTATAAATTAAGTAAAAATATTATTTTTTATTTATTTATATTTGAAAGTAATGTCTTGTTGATGTAAACAAATCTGCTTCTAAATTAAACATGAATTATTTATGAAAATATAAAGTTACAGTAGGTAGCTAAGTAGCCAGTAAGTAGATATTTTGTATATTTATAACAAATTACACTATAGGTATGCGTTGTTGTATAAATAAAACAACCTCATTATTTTTTCTAGATATTTTAATTATTCATAAATTGTTTGTTAAAATATATTAATATTTAAATCTCAAAAACTGAAACACTTGGCCAATATTATTGAATAGGTAATTAATTTAAAAAAAAAAAATGTATATGCAATACAACACAATAGTCATTTGCTTCGTAGATATTAATACTTTGATACCGAACCCCCAAATGATAATTAGTTAATTATTTATCAGTAACCACCAATTATTTACTATTACTAAAAAGGAGATAAAGTCATAATGTGTTAATAAATGTTAAAATATTAAAAATTCTTATCTGGGTTTAATTTCCTCAAAAATATAATTAAAACTAATTGCTTAAAGAATTATTTTCTAGAATAAAAAATACTATGCTTAAAAATTGACTAAATTGTACGTTAAATAAATAATTTTGACATATGAGTATTAATAAGATGGGTCATATAATATGTTTAGAATGGCATGTCGTTTTTTCTTATATTTGTTTGGTTAGATTTACTATAAAAAATATTATCAGATTCTCATTTGTAAATTATAAATATAACTTAATTGTTGTAAACTCAAAGATGGTTTTGTTGTATAAAAGTATACATAAATAAAACATTATTCATATATTTATTGCTGCTGAATTAGAGCTAGGTACAACTAAACATATATATTATGCACTAACGATATCGTAATTTATTTATTCCAGTTGGGWAATATCAAGAGTTGTTTAGACCTTTTGGAGACACTGGGTGTAGCTTTGGATGGTATAACAGCCCATGACGTCAAGGAAGGTAACTTGAAAGCCATATTGGGTTTATTCTTTGCTCTTTCAAAGTACAAACAGAAACAGAAACAACAACAGAAATCTGAAGGCCCCAAGTCGAGAATACCTACAGATATGAAGCAATCAAGGTAATGTTAAACGAAACTTGAGTGATAAATCGTGTTAGAACGAATAATAGAGTATATAATAATATAATATTATATATATATAAGATTTTTAGAAGAGTGGGGGGAAAAATGAAAATAAATTACGTCATTGTGGATGTACATAGCAAGGGCGTGGACCCTTCATCCCTTTTTACCCTAACAGACTGTGTTCAGTTCCAATGGGGAATTCGAACAGTGCGCGTCGCAATCAGTCCAGGAGTGTCCCGACATCTCCTGAAGTTAGATTAAGGTTCCGGTTAAAATCACCTTWTTATATTATTATTACAATGGACAATAGTCGGTGTTTTGATATGCGCTATTTTCTTTATATTATATGTGCATGTACACACTATTTTAGATGAAGTTATTGTTAATTTATATTTTCTATTGTTATATAGGCTTCCTGGACCCACCCTACACTCGGGCAGTATTACGAGTATACCGACCCCGTTCGCTCAGAGATTTCATCAATTGCAAAATACACCTGCCGTCAACAGTGAGTATGCTTATACCTACCTGCCACACTTAATGTGCATAGGACGTGGGAACTTTAATTCAATTTTATTGTCATATAATAGGTACCTATATTTACCAATTACCATATTTCATACACACACGATATTAATAAATACAATATACAATATGCATAGGTACAAATATTGTACATGTTTAAAAATTATATTCAGTAAAAAGTAATTGTTACGTATTACTTGGTGCACTCGCCACTCTGATACTCATGTCATCCATATCAGTCATATCATTCGCACATAAAAATATTGAAATCTTTTCATAGTGTTTTACAATTATTGCACTAATAAATATTAATATTTATTGAACATTTTATTTACATTAGATTATTAATTTTGTTATTTACTTTTGTTTGAAAACCTATAATTTTTTTTTGTTAATTACAGCGTTAACGTATATTTAATGATTAATAGAAGCTGATAATAATTGTTTTGTTAATTGATTGTTGGTAAATGGTAATCTAGTTAAATAATAAAGTTTAGAATTAAATTAAATTTAAGTTCCTATTTTTATATAAAAAAAATACATTTTCGATAATATACAGAATACAACCTAATAAGTAATAATATACCTATCAGTTAAAATTTTCTTAAACTACCTGTTTMTTATTATGCCTTCTATAGTTTTGTGTCCATATACTTACMTATATTATTATTATTTATTTCTTATAATACAATTTGTTGAAATCCACCATCGATACGTATACATAGATTTTCACCTTAATATCTACGTTTGCATATACGATTTACCTAGTAATTTTCATTTTTATTTTAAACCGAAAAATAACAAAATCTCGAAAAGTAAGAACATAAAAATACCTACGGGAGTATTATATTATTTTTTAAATGGTTTATTAGTTATTTTGTAGGTAGGTGTTCAATAAACATAAAACAATACTCGTTAAAGATCGTATAGTCTTATTTATTATCTGGAGTGGAAATAAAAAATAATATATTATAAGGGTCAATGTTAACCCTGAACGAATATGTTATCTWAAGTACCTAGATAGTTAACTGCCCATCTAAAAAATGAACTGCACACAAGACGAAYAATTTGTTCTTATTTTTAAATACTTATAAAGTTATAAATATGTACGTAACTACAAGTCATTTTCGCTGTCCACCAATCCCACATACAAATTTTAATTTAAAATTCATTATTTTTATTATATTTTATTGTAACGTGTTCTGAATTCATCTTGATAAAAAATTAAAAACGTATTTTAAAATTCATTGGTTACTTTGCTATACGGCTTAACCAGCAACATACATAAATAAATAAAGCTTTTGAGTGAACAATTATCCACGTACGAAATGCGGTTAGGTACAGATCAGAGAATTCATAAGATCAATAATTAGGAAAACACTCAAACACATTTCGAAATGTAATGTTAATTCTATATACAACAATACAACCAAGACATATAGATATATAGGTACATTTAAACTTAATAATCTTCCAAAAACAACACATTTATGTAATAATTGAATAAAATTATACTTACAACCCACGTTATGTCATTATGTTTACTAGTTCACTTTGAAGTTCAAGTCACCCTTTCTTCCATTGTTATATTATTTCAATGGTTATCATAATAATAATTATTATCCGCCTTCATTTTAGTCTGGTCGTCCACACCCTTCCCACATTTCCTACTGATGACGTCATCCAACGCATATTAAGTCTCACGCCTGTTGCTTTCTTATCACTCGTTTTTCTTGCGTTTCCAATTCTTATCAAACATTTCACTTGAATTTCCAGTCCTTATTTGCTACGCTTAGTCACTATATAATAACTATTAAGTAATAGTCACTTGTAGGCTGTAGCCTGTAGGCTGCACTGCCGCAGTCCGTGACCTGTGGACTGTGGCGGCATTGAAGTTGTAGCGTTGCGTTTTGTAAATTTTTAAATTTTTATATTTATTGGTAGGTAATCATTAACTTCTTTCCTAAGAAAAATAGCGTACACTAAAATGACTTATTATTTTCATGATTCATGTCTTAAATTTAATAAAAATATTCTCTACTTCCTCTATTGATCATTGAGCAAAATAATATTAATTATTTTTTTAATGGATATTTTTATATTGATTTGCTTTACATAATGTATTATATTTATAGGTCCATACACTGGAATCAAGTGTACATCAAACAGTAGTTCCAGATCAACTAGTCCTCACACGTTTATACCATCACCAAAAAATATCATTAGAACACCAGTTGCCTCACCTAAAAATACAAAGTAAAAATATAATAAGTAAATGGTGTTAATTTATTCATAATTATATTGATTTGTACATTATTATTTTTCAGTCAAAAAAATGGAATGTCTGTTAAAACTAACATTGCTAGCCCATAYAGTTCAGCCCAAAAAAACAGCGCATTGTTGGAAAAGTTAAAAGCTTCTAATCAAAAGGAAAAATCCAACAAACAAGGTTTTCAAAAACTAATACATAATATTATACCTATATTTATAATATAATATTTTCAATATTATAATAAATTGTAAATTTTATGTTTTTAGTTATCAGTAGTACTAAAAGAACTTCCAGCTCTAGTGGTTTTAGTTCTGCTCGTTCAGAACGTAGTGATTCATCAAATAGTCTTTCAAATGAACCAAAAACAGTGCCTAGGTATGTTAAATTTCTTAAAAATATATTGTAAAAAAAAAWTTTAATATAGCATTAATGAATTTGTTATAGTCTAGATAAAAAAGAAAATTTGATAGAAGTGCCAAAACCAGTATTAAGAAAAAAAATTGTAAGGCCACCTGTTCCATCTGAGTCACGTCTTTCTAAAATTAGTATTAAATCATCTACACCTCCTAAATCTGAAAGTCAACAAAGAAAAAGTTTAGAGGTAATTATGAGGCACATGTATGTACTTTGTCAATGGTTTTAATTATTATTATTTTTTAATAGATATTAAATTCAGATAAAGAAGATTTAAATAGTTCATCCACAATGGAATTATCCCAAAGTCAATCTAGACTCAGCGGTACTGGAATCCCAAAACCAGTAGCCACTGTCAAAGGAAYGAMAAAACCCACACACTGTGTAGCTCCAATGCAACAGATAAATTCAGAACTTAAAAAAGTTGATGACCCATTAGAAAAAAATAATGTTAAACCACTTGATATATGTAATGAACCTAAAAAATCTGAAAATGTAAGTTCTAACAACAATTTGAATAACAATTTGAAGTTATTTTAATTGTATTTTATAATTTTAGACTTCTAGTTTGATTCTGAACGAATCAAAACATGACAAGCAAAGCTCGTTTACAGAAGAAGATGATCCAGCATTGAATGTAAAGCCAATGGAACCGTTATTAAGAGGATATAAAAGATCTATTATTGTACCCCAGCACAGGACTATACCATCAGATTTAGGTATTTGAATTGGAACATTATTAGCAATACATAAAAACTAAAAATTAATGTAAACTAACTTCTCATAATGTTATATGCACATAATAACTTTCAATGTATATATATACATCATATTTTTAAATTTAAAATAACTAAGCTAAAAAGTATAATGGTATTTATTTTTGAAATCTCACAAATTCGTGACCTTCAAGATTCAAGATTATAATGTCACTTATAAAATGAATTAACTATTTTTTTATTTTATTTGAATTAAGCCTCGGCAACTATGGCCATTGGCAACAATTGGAATTACCTATTGCTATACCATATAACATGTATGATAAGTATTCTATACCCCAAACATAGGTGCGATTTGAATAAGAAAACTAAAGGTGCTTAAGCTATGCATTTTCTAATTTTAGTTTTTTTTTGAAGAAGAAGAAGATTTTGATACATACCTTAACACGGAAATTATTTGGTGATGCTAATACCTTCTAACCCCCCTCCCCTATTCATGTCTATGAATTTAAATATAAATATTACTGATGATACATTACGAGTGCATCACTTCTAATAGATATAATTTTTGTTTTATACAGGATTAACTCAAAATAACTGTATGAATGGTAATTTTCAAGAAAAACGCATTTCTGCAGATTCTGATTATGGACAACAATCTTCAGGTAAAATAACAATTGATTTATTTCTAATTGCAAGTAATAACTATTGTTGTTATTGTTAGGAATAAATGAACAATTGATACTATTACTAGTTTTTCTCTTAGGTTATGTATCGGATGGTGATGTTCTTCAGTATGATATTCAATCTCGACAAATTCTAGTTACAGATCCAGGTTACATATCTGAAGGTCCAGTATACAATGATTCAAAGTAAGTATAGAAAAATTAAAATCATTTTCAAAAATAATTATACTTTATTATTTTAACAAAATTCTTATTATTGTTGGTAATTTAGTAATTGTTTGATCAAAAGTTAATTTTTAATTACAAGGTTACAAGGATAATTGTTAATACTTAGTATTTAGTAATAGTRTATAGAATTGACTATTGAATCAATTACATAAATAGTTTCAACACTTGAACTATGAAAAATTAAGAGAAATAACAGAACAATTTCTCAAGATCTAGTGTCCTTTAGTCGTATACAAAACTATTAAAGTATACATTTTATTTTGGTAAAATTGAAGTATTCTTAAGTTTTATTAAAATATAAGATAGGTATTACATTACTCCCTCTCATACAAACTTCTTTAAATTTAAATTTGAATATTGAATATATTTTGTTTTCATTTTAATAATATAATAATCATATAGAATGTATACATATTAGATAAAATGGGAAAACTATAATTTATCCAAAAAGTTTTAAATTCTAAATGGTGATTACTTTATTTAATATTTATATRTTTAATATCTTGTAAATATGTCTATTCTTGTTTCATATTTAGTTATTGTACTAGTAAGTACAGATTGTAAATTTCATATAAAAATAAAAAGGACCAAGGACTTATAGTTTTTTTTTTATATATTTAAAAAGCATATTTACAATCTACACAATTTTCTCTAAAGTAAATTTAATAACATAGGTAATAATAATATAATGACTTAATGTCTTAAGGGGGGAAATCTGTCTATCAACAGTACCTCCTATTTAATTTTGTGGGTTCATATTATTATGGAGACCTTATAGTTTTTAATTTATTTATGTTGGATAATATTGTATTATAACCAACTGAGTAATATGTAGAAGTGTGTTCCAACTATATTAACATATCTAAAATAAAATTTAAAAATGCATTGCTAATATTTTTGAAATAATCTACAATTTTCATATCAATATTAATATTTAATGGTTTGAAGTACTTATAAATCATTGTATTATCTATTTATCTATAGAATATTATAATTCTTTTAATGGAATGTTTCATTAATTTAATTACCTACTTAAATTGAAGAATGTAAGACTATATCCAAAATTTAAAATAAATTACAACTGTTCTTACAACTACATTTATAAAAATAATATTAAAATTACTATAAATATATTTTTATTGAATTTGGAAATAATATTATTTATATTTTAAATTGTATTGTTACATGCAAGGTTTAACTTAAGCTTAAGTATATATCAGAATTCAGATGTTAATTCTCTAGTAAAACTTTTTTTTCAAACAACATTAAAAATACTTCTAAATAAATTACCGTATTAATTTTAATATTTCTTCAATTACTATCAGTAAGTTATAACTGCTTATGTTTATTGCTTAGTATTATTGGCTATTGCACATTCAAACAATAGGGCAGATCCCGGAGCCTCATAAATTTGAATGAGTTGTAGTTTATTTAAAATAAAAAGTACAAGCATTTCTTCTCTTACAAATTTCCAGTGTTTAATTTTGTTATCTGCTTTCCAATTATGACTAGTTTTACTCAACTTTTTAACAACTTTAAAACTAATCATGAATCAAATTATGACTATAAAAGTTCAACACAAATTTTAATTTATTTTTGTTGAATGATTAAATTTGGGAATTAGTTAGTTTCTAATGTTAATAATAACAAACTACTTAAAGAATATAATGACTACAAATATCATAATACCAATACTTAAAATGATAAAATGATCATATTACGTAATTTAATAGAATATATTTATTATTTTGTAGACTTGTTAAACATATTCTGGGTATATATATTTTTTTAATGTTAATTTAAATATGATTTACAGACAATGATTTTTCATTAATAGTAGTGGTTTGTAATGTGACTAATGCCCCATTAAAATATGTTAGTATGATTGATGAATTGTAAAATAAAATAATAA